GTGTGAGTAAACACTTAAGACTAATTTCCAAACCTCACAATTCAAATTATGGAAAGGGATACTGTAACCATAATCAAATTCAAAAATGCAATTTTACAATCACTATATTCTTTAAATCTTTCTTAGTGAAAGTATTTCCTCACAATCATTTTCATGAAGGAGGAAATCTTATGACACTTAGATTTAAACGGTGTATGTGTTCCTATCCATGTGAATTGTTAAAACCAAAGTTTACGACAAATTCAAACTCATATGGACCGAACTTTCTTAATCTTGATTTCTTGCCTTATGGTAGCACAGCTGCCCACCACGTCTTCCAAGTAGTTAAGCAGCTCACCTTTTTTTATCAATGTACCTTTCATTGATCAAGGTGCCTTGCCTTTTACGCGTTCAAAATGAGAACTCAGAGAACTCACATGCATAATTAACTCAATTGGAAACAACATAGAAACAAAATAATGTTAACACGATAGGTTGTAAGCCTCAACTCGTGTGCTAGTGATGATCGATAAGGTTTATTTGATTTGTTCTTGAAACCTTTCAAGACCATTAAGACTCCCACTGACTCCTTGACATATAATATTCTCTTGTCAATAAACATTTCTTGACAAACAAATATTCAAGAGTTAGTGTAGTTTTTATCAAAACACTTCATAAATTGGTCCTAGTTGGTCTTTGTCTTATCCAAGACATCACAACTTTCCACATTTGATGAACGTTATAAACCTTTTAATACTTGTCACTCATTGTCACAATCTTAACTCTAAGACTTGTTTTGGAACGAAGTATGATTGACTTCTTGATTTAACCATTTCTTCAATTCTTGATTCCTCTTCTTAAACATACAATTGTACTAAGACTTACTTAGAGGATCATTTGAGATATGGTTCTTAATCATTAAGACCTATCATAAAACATAAAAGGTACTCTCCCTTCTTCTTAGAATGGAGAACCTTTTATCTTTCTGCCTACTTGATTCTTCTTATTCATTCTGCCATTGATTTAAACCTTTTTAATCAATTCCGAATTACACTTAATCTTATCATATTTACTAAACCTTTAGTAAATCATGAAGAATATCTTTGTTACTCTTATGGTGGACTTGATCAACACACAACTTTGTGTGCTCGATCTCCTAGTCCTTCACTTGACACTTTGTCAACAAATTAGTCTAATTTCCAAATATGAAATTTCTCATTCATCATGCAACCAAGTTGCGTGATTCCAAATTTCTGTCCAATTGAAATTTGGGCGATGAGAAACTCTCCCTATTTGATAAATTCTCGACATTTCCATAAATAAGAATCATATCCATTCGTTGTAGAAATATGTAAACATCAATTTTCATAACGATTTCATTGCAAGGAAATAAACAAATAAATAAATAAGTCAAACAAAATTTATTTTATTTATAAAAGCAGCGGAAAACATTTGTCCTTACAATGCAAAATCCATTGAAAGCTATGTAGTCGAATATTCCTAACAGTTCTATCATAAATATATAAGCTCAAAATCTAATCTTCAATTTCATGCGATCGAGATCTATTTCTTTGTGATTAGACTCATCTTGCTCTTTCATCAAGCTTCCTTTGTTTTCACCGATCCTGCAAAACATTCAAATGCAATCTTATCACATCATGTATTAAGAATCAATGAATAGGAACTTAATGGAGTTAGATAGTGGATTTTTACCTGAAGCACAGCCATACTCTTTGACTCTCCCATCTTTGGAATCTTCAGGCTCTTGGGGCAGACTTCTATCCAACGCCCTTTCTCTTGGCAGCAAACGCAGGTCGCTTCTCTTAGAACGTCCTCGGAAGCATGGTCGATTGACTTTCCCAACAAATACGCTCCATTGATTTGCCAAATCATTTCTGATTCAGCAGCAATGAGCATGTAAGTTAGGTCAATGAGGTTATCGTCATGATCCATCATATAATACTTTCTTTTGAACTCATTATATGATTCAGGGAGTGACTGCAGAACCCAGTTCACAGCCAACTCATCGGGAAATGACACACCCAACCTAATCAACCTATCGATGTGTGATTTCATTCCTAGAATGTGGGCACACACGGATTTACCATCTTCATGTTTCATTTCCAATAGGGCCTTAGTGATATTGAACCTTTCAATTCTTCGATCTTGTGGGTTAAGGAGGTGGAGGAAGTGAAGCATGATTTCTTGTTCCTCGATCGAATCATGGAATACCATCTTCATGTGGAATGCTTGTTCCACGGGATTTGGGAAGACCATAGTTGTTGAACTTTGACATCTACAAAACGAGAGAAACAAATTCAAGTTAGTTGATTGATTAAGTCCTTAGTAAATCACCCAAATGAAATACTAAGGCTAGGACCCAACACAATATTCCACAACTCGGGAGAGGGATGCCGTAACCCTAATTGCAGAATATTTGAAGGTAAGTGAATGACGATTCACTAATTTCCACCACGAAAAACGAAAAAGAAATTTAAGTATTAAATCTATGAAAACTCCTAGAACCTTTGAGATTCATTGAACATTTCAATGGCATGTTTAAATCTCGATATGCCCCTCTTGTTTGTGACTGGGATGCCGAGGATCACAAAGCGGGTGTGAATAACCATGCAAACTTACATGGCGCCCTCACATATTACAGTCACCTATTCGATGTGCCGGTAAACCACACACGCTCCACCGAACTATGACAAACATTGAGTCACCCTTTTCTACCTTTGCTTAGAACCATTTAGTGTGCCGGTAAACCACACACGTTCCACTAACGTCTTCGCAAGGGCACAAAGTGTAATTTCATGGAATTGCATCAATTCACTTTTGCCTAAGTAACTAAGATTGGGAATTTGAAAAACATTTACTTACTTTGTATTTCATTATACTTATAATGGAAGGTTTCATCCTATCCTACCCGTTCGGCTAACGACCCTCCACTAGTCAAGAGTGCGGTGGGTAAGAGTGGATACCCATTCAATCGCCATTTTATAGGCAATTTCCTTAAACACCCCTTATAGACCAGCTTTGTGAATGAGGCCTACTAACGGTAAGACTGACTTTTACTCATACATACATACATATATATATATATATATATATATATATATATATATATATAATGTTAGACTTTTAATGTTATATATATAGTATAAGGTGTATTTTACACTTTTAAAATACTAGGTGGTCAAATTTAATAATTATACCTTTAATTCAATTAAATTGCAAACCAAAACTTTTATGGATTTATTAAACCTCTTTTAATCTTACACCTTAATTAATTAATAAAACCATAAGGGTGTGAATTGAACTTTTCAAAACATTACTAGGGTTTTAGAATTTAACATTCCTAATTAAACTTTTAATCAACTTTTAATTCCAAAACTTGAGGGCAAGTTTTGAAACATTTCAAAACATTTAGGATTTAAAATTTAAATATACATCAAAATTTAACTATTTAATTAAAATTTAAATTCCAAAACTTGAGGGTAAATTTTGAAACCTTTTTCAAAACATTAGGGTTTCAACTATTTAAATTTCACAACAACAAAACTTTTGGGTTCAAATTTAAACTATAAAACCTAAAGGGTAAAATATGAAACTTTTCATAACAACAAGGATCAAATAACAAATAATTCAAATTAACATTTAATCATATAATTATCCATATTTGATTTATTTAATGATTTCTTGCAAAACAATTTATCAATTTACTCAAAATAATTAATCAATTATCACATAAGGAAACAATTATCTTATTAATTGATAAATATCTTCAATTAGATCAAAATTATAGTCAAATATATCATATAATCGGATTAATATTGATCTAACATGATAAGGTAACTATCCATAAGCAAAAAAAGCAAGAAAACCCGAGATACCCTCCATCTGACGAGTTGACTCGTCGAGTCAGGCTTGGACTCGTCGAGTCTGCATGGACTCGGCGAGTTCAGCTATGGACTCGGCAAGTCCAGCCTCCAGAAACTCAAAAATCGAATTTTTTTGAACATGTAATGCATCAATACAATTGAAACCAGTCTAGTCTCTGATACCACTGATGGGTTTTGGTCATAAGACATCCTATGTGCTCATACAAACCCTAATGCTCGGATCTAGGTTTCTCTATTGTACATGCAAGTTATCCAAGACTATAAACCCTAATTCTAGCATTCAAATAATCATATTAGCCATAAGAATAATTTTATAATGTTACCTTGAATGTTATGTAGCAATAACAATCCCAAATCTCCTTGTATTGACTTTGGAAGGCTTAGAGTCACAAGTGTCACTCCTCTAATGGTTCACAAACACCATAAGCAAGAGGATGAAGAGGAGAGAGGTTGGAGGCTACCAAAAACGTGTAGAGACCCTAACAAGAAGCTTAGCCAGGTTTTTGAGCCTTAAGGGGTCTTTATATAGTTGGGCTATTAGGGTTATCTAACATGGAAACCCTAAATTAGATGTTTAAGCCTTTAGCAACCCATGGACCCTTCTAATTAAGGCATTGGATGATTTCATATGGGCTTCCCCCATAGAATTCGTCCACCCCTTAATATAAGGCAATCCATGGCCCAAATTGCAATTATCTTATAATTACAATTCCAGTCCCTTAAGTTTAATTAATCTCTTTTAGTTACAAAACTAATTAATAATTAATTATTGACTAATATTAATTAAACATTATGATTTCTCCTTTAATATATTATTCCCATAATATATTAATAAAAGGAAAGCTCCATTTTAGTCCTATTATTTTACCCGCGTTTATGATAAAGTCCTAAACTATTAAATGTTAACGAAAAAGCCTGAAATACCGGATAAAACGGCGAGTTGACCCAATTTACCCAGTTACCACTCTTGCAACCGGTGACAAATCGATGTGGCATTATTTTGCTTACATGGAAGTTGACTCAAACATACCTCTATCTCTCTCTTTATTTATTTACCTTAGTCTATTATGTTGAGAGTACACAAACCCTAGATCGACCGAATTGCAAGTTTTGAATATGGCCTCCTCCTCCTCCGTCTCCAACAGTAGTGCATATAGGTCAGCCAGGCAAGTTCGAAGAAGGTGCGATTGTGATGAACTAGTTGGCAGGTGGAGTTCATGGAAGCCGAAGAACCCTGGAAGGAGATTCGTTGGTTGCCCCAATTACAAGGTGAGTATCTTCGAATCTTTGAGTGCGAGGTTTTTATCTTCATGGAAACAGAAGAACACTATATTAGTTAAATGTGAGGTTTTAATCTTCAAATCTTTGAAATTTCCATTAAACACCATAGTAGTTGCACTGCAAAATGTCGTCCAATGCAGGATAAGGAAAAGGATTGCAAATTCTTTGAATGGATAGATCCTCCATTACCAAACAACTGGTACAAACAGATGATCTATGATTTTCACAACCAAGGAATTCATGGAGTCAATGATGAAGGGTTTGAAGACTTTATGGGTGAAGATGTGGAAGGAGTAGTGCAACAAATTCCTCTGCAAGTGGAAGGTGTGATGGTTCTTAAGGGATGGAAGATTTGGTGTTTGGTTGGTTTGATTGCAATTATTTGGGTTATGGTTATGTAATTTTAGGATGTTTACTTATGTTTCTATGTAATGTTAGGATTCCCTGTTTGTTTTGGAATGTAATTGTATGAATTGTGGAAAAATTGATCTTCTAATGTAATGGTATATGAGTATGAAATGCATATTTGGTTTGATTGCAATTGTTTGGGTTTTGGTTGTAATTTTTGGATGTTTAATTATGTTTCTTATGGAATGTTCATACCATACAAAAGTACATACCAAATAACTGCATTACAAACCATACAAAAGTACATACCAAATAACTATAGGAAATTGCATTACAAACTGATACAGATTCAGAATGGTTGGGCCTTGATATAAATAAGGGTCCCTATAAATAAACTAGGAATATTACATGTGCATTCTAGAAAGGGCAGAAGGGCAAAAATGGAAAGTGGCTAGAAAGGGCAGAAGGGCAAAAATGGAAAGTGTCGATTAAGTATTGTTCAATGTTCTTGGCTCTTAGCATTAACCTAGTGAGAGAGGGAGATTCCTTGGTATTGTTTGAGGTTATTGCTTCATTCAATATAGTTTGTAATTCATTTCATTAGATTTAATGATATCATCTTCTTCTTCTCTGATTCTTCCTGTTTCTCTTATTTCATTATCTATTGATTTCTATTTCTCATCACAAACCATACAAAAGTACATACCAAATAACTATAGGAAACTGTTAGTGTTTGACTTTCAAAATAACATTATAAACCATACCAAACCACATACCAAAGTATGTCACAGTGTTTGACTTTCCAAAAAATTTACAAAAAGAGAAATTTTTACCCAAAGAGTTATATAAAGCCAACACAATGAATTAATTACAAAAAAAGGGCTACCATATCACAATCATTTGCCCTATTCAACATTAAGTGGTGTGCTTTCAGTTATCCCAAATTTGCTCACCACCTGCTTCTTCAACTTTAACTCAGTTATCCTCTCTGATGGCTTCCTCCTTCTGATTTGTTGGGTCTTCCTCATCCTGCTTTCTTGGGTGTTGCTCCTCACGATTTCTTGGGTATCCTCATCATTGACCTCTTCTTCATTGATCTCTTCTTCATTCACTTGTACTGTTTGAGTCTCTTCTTGAACATTGGTTTCCTGAATACAAAAACAAATAATTTAAAAAATTGACTTCTATTTGTAATGCTCTTAAAATTAAACACTTACCACATTTAAACACCCAAACTCCTTCAATTGAGATTCATTAATTCCAAGAACAGACATTATTTCAGCATCACTGTAGTTTGATGACCTCAAATTTAGAATGGAACTTACTATTATATCCATATCTGATATATCAATTCCATCCCCCTCATCAACAACATCATGTTTAACCTCAAACTCAGGTTTAACCTCAACCTCAGGTTTAACCTCAAACTCAGGTTCAACCTTAGCATTAGGTTCACCTCTACCACCTCCTCTTCCACCTCTATTGCCTTTACCACCTCCTCTTCCACCTCTTCCTCCCCTTCCACCTCTTCTCCAATGGGTAAGATTAGGATCTAACTTAGGCCTTCCCATTTTCTTCTTTGGTTTTGGTTCAGGGATCACCTTGGGATTTTTGCAAGAGACCTTATTATGACCCTTTTGCTGGAAGTTTGTACATTGGACAGTTCTGCCCTTAGATGATACTTGTGAAAACTTGTCCTCATGTTCAGAAACATGCCTCTTTCTCTTGATGGCTGGCCTTCCTGGCATCCTTCTTTCAATAGGTGGAAGGGGCTTTGGATAAGGAGATTCCACCCACATATTGCTACCATTGACTGGTAGTATGTTGGAACCATATGTTAACATATATTTCTCTTTACTAAACCAACTACTAATGTAGCTCACAGGATCTTGTTGTGTATACATAATGGCAGCTTGGGCATGTACACAAGGTATCCCTGATACATCCCACAAATTACAAGTACAAGAATACTCTTGTAAATTAACACAATAAGAGTAAAAACCATTCCTCACTTCAAAAGCAGTTACACCACTAGGATAAACATACCAGGACCTGTAATTAAGAATACATCAGCATATGAAAAATAATATTAGTGAATTAAATTATAGGATAACTTACTTTAAACTTTCACCAAATGCTTCCATCTTCTTAATTGTTGTTGGACATATTTCAGTATCCCAGTTCTGTCCTACTTCCTTTAGATTATAGAATCTTTCCATCATGTGTAGTCGTATTTCCTCAAGCATAGTCAGTAGGGGCTTTTTTCTAGCATCCACGATAACTGCATTAAAACATTCAGCCATTCCATTTTCTACTGCCTCACATGCCAATCCTCCACCATAGAAGGCCCTGCACCATGAACTGGGATCCCTTGCCATTAGATGTTCATAAGCAGATGGACTAATATCATAATCTTTTGCATGTTCATGTTGAACTCCCCTTCAACAGTTGATTTTGCAGCAGCCCAGAACATATTTTTAAACAACACACCAGTATACACCTTTATGAAGTTGGCATATATATGTCTGGCACATTGTCTGTGTTGTGCAAGTGGTAGAACTTCCTTTGTAGCCTCAAGAAGACCCTATTCATAACAAACACAATTACATTAGATAACCTAAGTATGAAATATATAGTAAACAAATACTAAAGTTTTGTGAAGTACCTTGTGTTGATCAGAAATTACTGCGATACCCCTTCCACCATCCAATTCTAAATCATCTCTTAACAATTCCAAGAACCATTTCCAGTTTACCTTGTTCTCTATTTCAACTACAGCCCAGGCAATGGGATACACTTGATTATTTGCATCTCTCCCATAACAGTTAACAATTCCCCTTGCATTGACCTTTTAAAAAAGAACCATCTAGCCCAATAACCCTACGACAACCAACCTTCCATCCTTCTTTTATTGCCTTAAAACAGATATATATTCTTTGGAAAGTAGTTGTGTTATCCTGGTTTTGACTGATAGTAATTTTAATTGAACTACCTGGATTTGATCTCAATAGCTCACCACCATAATCCCATACTTTAGCGTAGTGGTCACTCAATCTCCCTTCTATCAAAGACATGGCCCTACACTTTGCTCTATAGCACTTTGACCAGGACACATTGCAGTGGAATCTACTTTGGATAATTACCTGCATTTCCTTACACTTCAAATTGGGCTTCCTAATCAGTTCTTTCAGAAACTGGTTTCCTAACCATGTTGGACCCATAAGGTTGGTATTTCTGTAATTCCTAACACACTTATGTTTGTCAACAAGTTTCTTAATTTGAAACGACCTCTCAATGTTCATCCTCGAAGCCCTAACATTAAATGGACATTGAAATTTTTGTGGATCACTAGCACATACAGCAACTAGCCTAAGACTGTCACATTTCTTGAACTTTATCTTATAACCAGTATGAATAGCATGGTTAGTTAAACATAACTTTAGTTGATGGGGTGATTCATACCTCTCTCCCAGAAATGGTCTCATCTTGTTCCATTTAACCGTTGGATCGTGGGTGCTGTACTCAACTCATGCTTAGAATCTTGGTAGCTTTCACTTGATACTTCTTCATCAAACCCACTTCTTTCTCGCATTAAGTCAAATTGATCTTCATTCTCCATAGCATCATCTTCATTTAAGTCAACATCGTCATCCATATGTTCAATTTCAGGGATTGCAAAGTCATCACCTTCTTCACCAGCTATGTCGGGACACAAGTTGTTCAAGAACGCATCATTGCATCTCTTGGTTTGCTTCTTCAAATCCTTGTCTACTTCAACATCAATAGTATCAAAATCCCAAACGTCTTCCATTTGCAAAGCTTGGAAGACTCGAACTCGTGGCCACACTTATCGTCTTCTTCACACGTAAAAAACCCTAATTTAATGTCGTCTACAAAGAAGATATTTCCATAAGTGTGTGTGATTTACCGTTGAAGGAATGGGTGTGTGATTTGGTCGACACACCTTCCACCTAATCTCATTTAATGCCACATCAATTTGTCACCGGTTGCAAGAGTGGTAACCGGGTAAATTGGGTCAACTCGCCGTTTTATCCGGTATTTCAGGCTTTTTCGTTAACATTTAATAGTTTAGGACTTTATCATACACGCGGGTAAAATAATAGGACTAAAATGGAGATTTCCCATTAATAAATCATATTTAATCCTTTCTCTCCATAATTCATCCTATCAAGTTGCTTTGGTGAAGGCAACCCAAAAGGACCATGCACCATCGGGTCAAGTACATACCAAAATAGTTATGGACTTAGATACTAATCCAACAGAAACTACTTTTCTGTATGCAGACAAAAACTTATTTAATTTCAAATATTAATGGAGTATTTCAATGAATCCAACCACCACATCCACTTACTTCTTTTTATATGTATTCATTGTTATATTATATGTATGCTACTTTGTGATTCCATTCTAGTCAAAACTAATTCTTTGTGATTCTATTCCAGTCAAAATTATATGTATGCTACTTTGTGATTCTATTCTAGTCAAAATCATATATGTATTCATTGTTATATGTAGGCTTCTTTATGATTCCATTCCAGTCAAAATTACTTATTTGTGATTCCATTATAGTCAAAGTTACTTCATTCCATTCTAACAAGAAGTTGAGATAATGGCTCCATTCTTTGTGATTCCATTCCAGTGAAAGTTAATATGTATGCTTCTTTATGATTCCATTCCAGTCAAAATTACTTCTTTGTGATTTCCTTACAATCAATGTTACTTAATTCCATTCCAACAAGAAGTTAAGATAACAACTCCATTCTATTCAAACAACATCTTTCAATACATCATTTCATCATATACACGATGATCAAAAAAAGAAATCCTATGGTAAACTTATATATTTTCTCCTTCATTGCAATGGCATTAAAGTACTTTTCCTTCTTCATTTGTTCCATGTCTTCCTTCACCTTCTCTACTTCGGTCTTCAATGCTACTAATTCAGCTTTCATTCCCTCCATCACTTCCATTAGAGGCATCTGTACAAGTTCTAAGTCCAACCATTTCAAATATTTGCATTCACCCTTCCACATAAAAAATTCAAAAGGAGATTTCAAATCTGGAATAAATGAATCAGAAAAGAGAGAAAATTCAAGTGAAATTGCTTACCTCATTGCACACCATGAAATGCCTCCCTGGATTCTTTGGTGTTGTTGATGTTAGAATACGTGCAGGGAACCCACAATCACAAGTTTTTGGATCATTCATTGTGGATTTCTTGCTTGATCGATTGAGGAAGGATGAGAAGCTGTAAGAGGAAACCATCGGGTATTAGGGCACAATAAAGGAACAACAAACGCCCCTACTTTAATAACAATAACCCTACATGCCACGTATGATCAAACTGACACATAGGATCAATAAATCCATTGAAACCTACAAAAAATAGTCGGAAGGGGAACATTAGCATAATTCAACAAGTTAAAGGGTTAATAGAGCACGAAAAAAAGTTCATAACCAAATGTGACCAAAGACAAAAATATTTTACCATCTCAACTCATTATCCTTTTATTTATTTTTCAAATATTTAGGTAAAAAATCGGATCCCACAAAAATCATACCTGCTGCTAATAAGACACCCTTTAAACACTCTGTAATCATTTTTATAAAAAGTCAACCTATAATCAAATACTTGTAATCATCTTTTTCGAAAAACAATGCAATTTCAACCAATAAAATATTTCAAACATTAATTAGGGATTCCATAATCAGCAATCAGATAATTCATGAATCACTTAGTCAAATTCGATCTACAGGTTGGACAAATTATTCACAGGTAGAAGAAGAAATGAAACATAGGATTGATAGAAGAAAGACAATCAGAAATGAAATAGAAATAATGAAAAAAAATAAAATTAATAATGCAGAATCATCCCAAAAAATTTTGAAAATATTAAAAATAAAAAATATTGAATTATTAGTTAAATTTTTCATTGAAAAAATATACATAGAGATCTTTCTATGTATCATTAATATGCGCAGAATCCCTCTACAACTTTTTATCCAATCAACAAAAAAATTATTGATAATGATAAATACATTAACAATAATGAAACAAATCAAGAAAGGATTAATAAAACAAAACAAAATAAAATTGACTTTATTTTGTCTATGACTATAAAAAGGGCTTTTGATAATCTTAGAAATAGTAAGCGGAAGTCAGATATTTTTTTTGATTTATCTTACTTGTCACAAAAATATGTATTTTTCAAATTATCACAAACGCAGATTATTAACTTCAATAAGTTAAGATCTATTCTTCAATATAATGGACCGTCTTTTTTTCTTAAGACTGAAATAAAGGATTTTTTTGGAAGACAAGGCATATTTCATTCCGAATTAAGACATAATAAACTTCCAAATTATGGAATGAATCCATGGAAAAACTGGTTAAGAGGTCATTATCAATACGATTTATCTCAGATTACATCGTCTAGATTAATCCCCCAAAAATGGTGAAATAGAATCAACCAATGCCATACGTCTCAAAATAAAGATTTAAACAAATGGTATTCCTCTGAAAAAGACCAATTACTTGATTCAAAAAAAAAACAAAATTCGAAAGTCTATTTATTACCAAATAAAGAGGATAATTTAAAAAAAAACTATAGATATGATCTTTTATCATATAAATATCTTCATTCTGAAACTAAAAATAACTACTATATTTATAGATCATCATTAGAAACAAATAATAACCAAGAAAATTCCACCAGAAATAAAGAAAAATTTTTTAGCATACTCAAGAATATTCCTAGCAAGAATTATTTAGGAAAAAGTGATATTATATATATGGAAAAAAATAAAGATAGAAAATTTTTGTATAAAATTAATACAAATATTAAGGTTGAACCTAATAAGGACCAAATAAAGGATAAAATTCATAATAATGGTCTTTTTTATCTTCCGATTGATTCAAATTTGGAAATAAATTACAAAAAGGTATTTTTTGATTGGATGGGAATG